GTGTGTGTGTGTGTGTGTGTGTGTGTGTGTGTGTGTTACTAGAGTTTGAACTCAGGGCTTCACACTTGCTGAGGTGCTGTTCCACCTGAACCACACCCTCAGTAAAATCTTTTTACATAATCACATAACCTGACCCCTAATTAAGGAGAGAACAGCCAGTTGCCATAAGGAATTCATGAAGGAGTGTATGGTTTTAGCACTTCCCATTGGGTTTCCAGCTTTGAACTTCTACAGAGCAGCTCTGCTCTTCCCTTGCACCTAAAGTCAATGACCCAGCCTTATCTTCTAGTTCCTAAGGTCCTTGAACATCCAGCCTCCTTGCTGCTGTGTAAGCCAGCAATCCAGGCTTTCAAGGTCATGCTGGGCTTCTGTGCCCACTAGTCTTCAAACCATTTCATAATGCAGCAGGAAAGGTCACAGTTAGTCTGGCTCCTAAAGGCTTATGCTGTATTAACAGTCTCAGAAGTTTAAATGCTACTCAAATCAGGAAAGAGAGATATTTGTTATCATTCCAGTACCTTCTATAGTAGTTGGCCATATTGGCAGACTTAGCCTGGGTATCCTGAGAAGATTGTCTCAGTCTAAAAGTATTTAGATAAGGAATCTAATGATGCGTTTGTGCCCCTGTTACTGACAGAGTAATTCTACATCAAGACTTACTATCAAATATTCACAAACTTTCAGGAGCCTTCAAGCAGACCTGCTGAATTTCTGCAAGAATGTTTAATTTTAAGGGATTATCTTTGAAGCTTCCCTTTGGGATATATGTTTGTGCGTTCACATGAGAGAAGCAGATTTTTGTACATTAAGACTGCTATCTGAAATGCTCTCTCCCCTTTTTCTTCTTTGTAAGGACCAAGAAGCTGATAATTGATGTGATCCGGAACCAGCCAGGGAACATGTTGACTGAAATCTTAGAGACACCAGCAACTGAACAGCAGGTAATTTGTCTTTACGTATAATATAAACAGTATAACAGACAGGTGTCGATTTTCTTAATAAATCTTCATGCCAAATGTTTTGGGAGAAGCTGTGTCTCACACTGTCTGGGAGTAAGGAATTGTACCTCTTATTGTAGACGAATAAGCTCAGCCATATTTAAAATCCATGTGGTGTATCAGGAGAATGAAACAAAAAATTCAGCCTGGAGCTCATGCCAAGTGTGATTTTTCCATAATATGAAGATAGCTCTGAGTCCTTCAGAGCTATCATTGTAAGCCTTACCATACAGTAGGTAGCTGGATGTGTTCATTAAAAGATCATTCTGGTTCACAGGGTATAGAAAAAGGCCTTTCATATTTTATGTATTTGCTACTATAAAGAAATGAAAAAGTGTCACACACATTAAAGTTGTTTTCCTGGAGGATCACAGTCTAAGGCTAGCCCAGGCCAAAGTTTTCAAGACCCCATCTCAACCAATAAAAACTGGGCATGGTGGCACATACCCATCATTCCAGCAATGACAGGAAGTGTAAATAGGAAGATTGCAGTCCAGGCCAGTCTCACATATCTCACAGCCGATATGTGAGAGTTGAGTTGGCTTCTGAACATGCAAGATTGTCATAGCCACTTTTTTTTTTTGGTGGTACTCGGGTTTGAACTCAGTTGCCTCATGCTTGCTAGGCAGGCGCTTTGCCACTTCAGCCACTCCACCAGCCCTGTTTTGTGTTGGGTTTTTTTTTGAGATAGGATCTCTCAAACCATTTGCCAGGGGCTGGCTTCATACCTCATTAGTAGTTGGGATTGCAGGCGTGAGCCACCAGGGCCCAGATTCATAGCTGCCTTTTGATAGATTATCTAATTTAAATTTTCTCAGTTGGGCTGCCCAGGAATTGAAATCCTTCCATCCAGGGAACTACAAAATAACAATTAATTCATTAAAACATGTCCACCCTCAGGTGATTTGTCACTGTGGCAATAAAGGAGCTTAGAATTTTGACCTGTCATCACTACCGCATTACTCAAAAAAGAGGAAGTACTTCCTCCCAAAGGTGTACTTCAAAACCATGAGTGAGGAACATGTTGTAGCATTGGTCTGGGGACTTTGGCTTGCAGACTTCTTTCTTTTGATATTAACTTGCCCTGTCTAGCTCCTGTTAAATTATGCAGTCATGGGATTAGAGAAATACCATCAACGTGATACTCTCTTTTCAGGAGCTAGATCACTCCAAAGACATGGTGAGCCGTGCACTGATAGATTCCAGGACTCCCGAGGAAGTGAAGCAGGGACAACCAATGATGGAAGATGCACATCTGCCTCTGGAGCAGAAGAAGAGGAAAATCCAGAGGAATCTTCGGACACTGGAGCAGACAGGACACGTATCATCCAAAAATAAATACCAAGACATTCTCAATGAGATCACTAAGGTTTCTGCACACAGTACTCTTTCTTCTTTACTTAGTAGACATTATCTAGCATAATATGGGATGCCCTGTGAGGTGACATGAAGGATTCACAGTTGCATTTGCTATGGTTCCTGCTTCTCAATATTACAGATTTTGAAAGACTTCGAAGCAATTGATGACTTTTATAGCGAAAAACCACAAAAATTCCCCCACATCGCCAGGAGAGTGGAAACTCACCCAGAACAAATGCTCAAGAGATGGAGTAGACAAACTAGGTCTATACCCTTAAGCCATACCAACTCGGTTTTTTTGTTTTGTTTAGTTTTGGTGGCACTAGAATTTGAACTCAGGGCTTTGTGCTTGCTAGAAAGGTGCTCTACCTCTTGAGCCACACCTCCAGTCCCCCTACTCATTTTGGGGAGAGTTTTCTCATCCTTGTTAGCTGTCATATAGCCCAGTTGCTCATAGGACCTGCCATTAAGATGGTAACTACGTCCCCGTGGATTCATTTCTAAACACTTCACCTAAATTCAATTAAGGCTCAGTTTCATTTCTGTTTCCTCATCTCCTGTTCTTACACTTGAGACATTTCCTAAGAAAAGGATCTCATCTTGGTGCAAGGAAATATCACAGGAGTGGCTGAGATCTGTTTGTCAAGGACACGGAAGTATATATTTGGATGAAAAAGCACATTTCATTCTTTTGATCCAAGCAACAAATTAACATGGGTCTAGAGGTTAAAAGCAATCAAATGATCAGGAAAAACAAAACAAAACAAAGCAGTTTTTTCACTTCCTGGGAAGAAATGCAGTTTCATTCTTCAAGGGAATTTATGGTAAATTCTGGTTGTAAACTGATTCTTCCCAGCCTGAGTGACACAAGGAAAATAGCATTTCTTTCTATAACTTTCAGATGGAAAGTATTTCTCTTTGGGAATGTGGGGTAGAGAAATCAGTGCTTTTGCTTCAAACAAAGTAAAAGGCTATCGTGAGGCAATTCTTCTACTTAATAAGGAATTTTTACTTATGAAGGGGTTTGTCTCTTTGAATTCCTGGGAGAACGGGTTTTAATTTGCTCACAAAAGAAAGTATCATTAAACAGGCGCCAGTTTCTTAAATGAAACATTTTCATAACTTATCAAATAGAATTTAAAAAAAAACATATCTGCAAGTTTAAATTTAGCACAATTCTTATAAGTGATAAGTAGCTCACTCAGCCTTGTGTTCTAGGAATTCTATTTCAACCCACATGTGGTCATCTCTTAGTGTCAGTTCTAGAACTTCCTACTGATAACCAAAAATCTAGGGGTGCTCAAGTCCCTTCTATGAAATGGCACAGGATTTGCATAGAACCTATGCTCTTTGTTTTGCCAGAGTTGGGGTCTATTATTGCCCAGGCTGGTGTTGAACTCCTGGTATCAAGCGATCCTCCTTGATCCTAAGTGGCTGGAACCACAGGTGTCTGCCACCATTACCACCTCTCCCATACACTTTAAATCATCTCTGGATTACTTAAAATACCAAATATTATGTAAAAATGTGTTATACCATGTTTCTTAGAGACTAATAACAAGAAGATCTGTGTGTTTTCAATACAGATAGGTTTTTGTCCTGAGTATTTGAATGCACACTTGATTGAATCCACAGATGTAGAGCACACAGAACTGGAAGACTGACTAATTGTTACGATGCTGAATTTTTTCAGTCTTGAGAGCCTGGTTATTTTTACAAACCTCAAGAAATGTTTACCAGATAAAAGTTTTTACTTCTTACTAAAATGAAATCAACAAGTAAAAATAAACCTTTTTTGTTTAAAGTATTCTTCAAAAAGGAAAAGTTGCTAGTAGCCTGAAGAAATTGCATCTCCTCCCCATGTCGTCTTTGTGTCCCAAGATCATTTTCCCTTAAACTAATTGTTTGGTTATTCTAAAATTAGTTCTGCTGTCAGAAAAACAAACCTTAGCAAGACTCTTAAAGTAAAATATGGGTGCTTTTCAGTTCTTAAGTAAAAAGAGATGAGAATGCTTTGCTGTTAAGATAATACCTCAAAGTGCCTGAGATAAACTTCAGGTTAACAGCCACAAAGAGTGACTTATTACTTGCTTCTCTTGTCTTAAATTGGCAATCCATAAGGCGAGCTTTTGCTTGTACCTTATGTTAGTCTTTACTTGCTGTTCTAGGATATCCGAAATCAAAGAATCCATCGCAAGCTTCGGAAAGCGGAACTGGCAAGACTTCAGCAGACTCTGAACGCCCTTAATGAGAAGGCAGCCTTTTATGAAGAGCAAATTAATTATTATGACACCTATATAAAAACTTGTTTAGACAACCTGAAAAGGAAGTAAGTTAAATTCCTGCTGTGATCTATATGGGAGACTATGATCCTGGTTGGATGGATTGGATTGGGTTGGGTTTAGAAGCAAATTTTTTCCTCTATTTTGTAACCAAAAACTAGAAGCTCAGTTTTATTCTTGGCCACAGTGACCCAAGAAGTCAGGAACAAACTTAGCCTTAGAATTAAAGTAGCTTACTCTGTTATATAGTAAGCAAATGGCATTAACATTTGGGGAAGCACTTTCATTATTGCTTTTGTCTTTTTTAGTCAAACACCATAATAAAAATACATGGCTCAAGTGGTAGAGTGCTTGCCTAGCAAGTGCAAGGCCCTGAGTTCAAATCCCAGTACTGCCAAAAGTAAATAAATAAATACACAAATTTTAATACATTAAATATTCATGTGTGTGTATATGTTATGTGTGTATATATATTACTTTTGTTTTTGGACTGTCTGCACAGGATTTCGTGTACTTGACAGTATTAGATAACACCATGTATTTGTAAATTGTGCAGAACAACACAATGATGTAAAATTGTTCAGCAGTGGTTTGAACAAATCATTATTGACACAACAGGCAAAATTTGGCTTTTACCCATTAGCATACCTATTATAGATTTTTATGCATAATACAGTGACTTTTAATGAATGTCCTTTGCTCATTATTTTTAGCGGTAGACTAGGGTCAATGCTAATCAATTTTTAATGACCTGTATTTAAATATGTAAGACAATATTTTCATGGGATCCTAGTCATCAAATTGGCAGTAGGAAGTGAAGCAGCACAGAAAACCAACTACATTACTCATAGAAGACTTGATAAAGGGAAATAACCGAATGTAGCCCTCATTTATTTGCATGCTGCTCATTTTGCACTTTAATTCATTTGCTTGGGTGTTGCTTACATTTATTTACTATACCTGGGAAGAAGTTGGCAAACTTGTTTCCAATAATAGTGCTTGTTAGGGATTTGCTTGGCATGGTTGTTGTGGTGGCTTTCAGGCATTTTGCACTAACTCTGCAGTCAGGCAGCCTGGATGTGTGGGTTACAATTCTGTCTTACATTGTATGATCTTTTTTTTTTTTTTTTTTTTTTTTT